AAGGTGGGATGGGTTAATTATATTATATTATAATTAAATATTTAATAATAAATTAATTTAATAATTTATTATTTAATAAATAAAAATTTAAAAAAAATTTTAAAAAACCTGATTTTGATAACTTTAAACTTGTGTTCTTATTTTTGAAATAGACTAAACTCATACTCTTGAATATGTAATCTTCCCATAAAAGAATCCATTATCCAATTGCACGTTCATTGTCGTAAATTCCGTACATAAGGTACTGCAAGAACCCATCTATATGCCTTACAAGACAAGGTATTGTGTGACTTGAATTCTTGATGTAGATGCTTTCCTCAAAGACTACGAGCATTTGCTTCAAGTGTGATTGAAGACACTGAAAGTTATGTACAAGTGTCTGTCTGCAGTGTGTGGACAAAAAGGTTAAAACTCGATGCCACTATTCAACTGAGCAGAGAAAGAAGGCCCGCCGTAGTTGCCAAGAGGAGTTTCGACTTTGAATACTACCCCGGTGCTCCCAACATTTCCATTCCACTTTGACCTGCCAATCTACATTCGGGAATACAATTTAAAAAATTAAGAAAAATCATATATAATCATTTAAAAACGGAAAATGGAGGACAAACATTGACAAATGCCACAACAGTTGCATAAAAGTGAAAACAAGGTTTCAGCAAAAAGGGGTGAAAGGTAGATAAAGATTAGCCTCATTTCAGTAGTAGCATCATTTCAATTGAACAAAAGGTGATGTAAATTAGCTAAAAACTTAGTAGGCACTTAGTCAGATAGATATACCTCTAACCAAAACAAAATCAATAAAGCTTAAGTTAACCATTTTCGACGATCAGCGAGAATCTTCACATGCCACTCGTTTGTGTTTCTTTCAGAAACTTAGTGCATGTATGGTCACTGATTATTTTATAATCATTTCGAGTCAAACATACTTTTTACCCACATATTTCATATGACCCACAACTACTACCTACCTATTATCCACACACACCATAGGACTCACAGTTTATAATCACTTAATTTGTAACCATACATGCACTTATTGGTAATCCATACCCAAACTAAAAATGAATCTCAAGCAGTATACATTAGCATTTACGCACGAATCCACCTGATAATTTCTACAATAAAAATCTGTAGACCATAAGTGTAATTTCCTATCCATGATTCTGCTATTTATTGCAAAAAAAATTCTGGAATAGTATTAGAATGAATATTTGGATACAGTTTTTAATGCTTATGTAGAATCATAGAGATCAGGTTCCAATTGGTAGTGGTTCAAGATTGTCAGGAAATAAGCCATATATACTTGTCATTATGAAAAAATTTAAATCATCGTACGAGTCCATCAAAAGTTACCAACTGCAGAGTGGATGGATCTGACACAGATATCCATAAACAAGATAACCTAAGCCTCCATTTGGGAAGAATTTATAAATGGTTTAATTTATAAATAGATATAAATGAGTAGAGGATGAGTGGGTAGTACTTGTGAATCCATTGGAATGGGTGGCTGAAAATGAAGTTTGACCATTTGTAAATAATTTATAAATTTTGCCAATGGAGGCTAAATATACAAAGAACACAGTGTACCATGAAGAAGATGAAAAGGCCTTTTTGGTTCACTTTGTGGACAAGAATTTCAGTTTTCTTACTTTCTGATGGCACATAAAATTTTCGTCAAGGTTTGGGTAAAACAGTTTTAAGATGTATGCACTGATGTGTAAAGTAGAAGAAGTCTGAGACAAACAAGTCTGTAAAATCTGCAAGCCTTGTATATATGCATGTCTAGCCTTGGTGCCCGTACATGAAGGGAAAGGGATCAGAATCCATAAGAAAACAAGAAAACCCAGCCAGACATTGCTTCAAGTAAATTATTGTTGAAGATATGGAAAGATTGTAAAGAAAAATCTCTCAGATATTTTCCCAATTGTGTGTGATTATTTTTCTTTAATAGTTGATTATGTGATTATCACACAATCTTTCCTTTTAAAGTTATTTATAACCCTACAAATAGGGTCTTCTACTTTGTAATAGAAAACAAGTTTATTATATACAATTTATAATTTTCTAACAATTATATATGCCACTCAAAGTTAAAGTATCGTGTTCAAAGTGATATATCCAAATATTTTGCCAAGTTTCATTACATGAAAGCATATTACAGCATAAATCACAGCTTTTAAAGGGAACACAAATAACTTACAGATACTGATGCAAATGCAGAAGGATGTGTCACAAGAGAACAGCCGCAGATAAGACTCAACTCCTCCTTTATAGAATGGGTAAATTCCACCTGTGTCCCAGGGTTGCTGCCACCAAATGTAGGGCGCAAACTGACAATAATGTGAGAATAGACAAGGTTGGTAAAAGAAATGCCGAGGACAAGAATAAGAATAACTTGGAAAGAAGAGAGAACAAGAAGAGAGGTTTAGGAGGAAGATTGCAAAATTTATTAAATAATGTATCATGTATGTCTATTACAATCAAAAATCCCCTTTATACAGTATTCAATCTATGATTAACAAGGAAACTAAGGTTTCCTTTATAAGAAAACAAAATCAATTGCCTTAAAATCACTATTAAAGGCAATATCAATTAACGGCAAAAATACCTTTTAAGATTCTAATTAATTTAATTTCTTCTACACCTTGA